TACTTAACATATAAATATATGTGCATAGACCTATATCCCTATCATTATATATAAATATATTTACATATGTATGTGCCTATATTTATATCTCTATAAATGTCCTTTGCCTCCTAGCTCTTTCCTCTATGTCCTTTTACTTTCCTCTTGTCCCACTATCATGTTCAACCGTCATTCAGCTTTCAGTGAGTCCTCTTGGCTACATTGCACTTGATCAAACCCCACCAGGCATTCTACGCCCTCCTTGCCATCAATTCTAGATCACTTGTTGCTCCCTTGTCCCTGGATTTGTTGGCTCCTCTCTTCCTTTCCCCCACTTCCCCCTCTCCCATGTCCCCCCAAGAACCATCCATCCTATTGTTTTCTCCTCAGGGATAGTTTATCCTGCCTATCATATATAGATAGACATTAAAAGGAGAGGGGAAAAAAGAAGCCTATAAATAGTTCCAGGTCTGTCTGTTGACCTTTAGGAATGTTTCTCAATTGAATCTGATGATGTGCCAAGCCCTGCCCTCAAAGTCTATTTTGGGGATTCCTCAGGGACTTCATTCCTTTGCTCCCCTTGCTGCTCTGTTGCACTCCTTTCATGTTTGGCCTCAGTGTAGGGGAGTCAGACTGGACACAATTCCTGCACTGTGTCTCCAGTGTTGCTCCTCATAGCGCTCTGGGTCAGTGTGGGGACACTACGAAGTGACATTCATTCTAATATTTGTGTCCTATATCAATAGAGTTGGTGTATAATGGTGGTTCAGTTCTGAGTCTGAAACACCTGAGCATCATTAAAGACGTGAATATCGGGCACTGTACACTGCTAGTTGACTGGTACAATAATCTTAAAAAACATTTTAGAATTATCCAGCCAAGTAGAAAAAGTATATACTCTTACATGACATCAATTCTGTTTCTAGGTATAGCCCTGAAATAAAAACAACCACTTACACATATGTGCCTGATGAGTGTAAAAATATACACGGTTACCACAGGAAGCAAAGTTATGAGAACTGCTTAGTCATAGCAGAGCCATTGAGAAAATGAGTCTCTGGGATTGAAAGCTCAAGATCATGGTCTCAGAAGGCACCGGACTCGATTGGCCTAACTTTGTCCACAAAGACAATGTTCCATGTGTTACACCCGTGAGTAGCACTGGGGTCTTACACGCTCATGAGTGGCCATCTAAGGGATAGCTCTTGGCCTCTTTCCAGCCAGATGAAAGAAGAGTGAAGGCAATCAAAGCTGCAGGGAGATAATTAGTCCAATGGACTGTGGGTCACAGGAACATCCGTGTCTAGGGCCCCAAGGCTATAAAAACTAGATTGTGCCTGGCCACCACTACCAACTGCTCTGAAAGAGCTAAATTATGGGGATCTGAAGTGAGTTGGAGAGGAAAAAAAGGGGAACTCAAAAATCACAAAAGAACAGCAGGCTCACTGGAGAGATAGAGACTGGCAGAACCACAAGACTTTGGCTCTTAGTCCCCCTTCAGATCTGGACCTGAACTCCACCCATGGCTCAAGTTCCCGGCAAACAATAGATAGGCCTGTGAGGGGAACAATAATGCTAGTGAGGTGTACACTTAGAACAATGAGCCAGTTGAAATCAGGAGGGTTGGGAAAGAAAGGGGAATGGGAACAGAAAACCCCGGGAAGAAGTGAGAGCGGGGATGTTACATTGCGAGTGAGGCCTGTAATCAACAGCCAGAAACAAAATGTGTATGAATTGCTGAATGGAAAAATACTCTTCTCTCTACATAGTCACCCAATTCACACTAAAAAGTCAAAAAAGGAAAATAAAAACGGTTCATAGTAGCATCCAGTCTAATTACTTGAATCAGGAACTAACCCAAATGCCCACCATTAGTAGAATGAACGGTTGAGGTATGTCCATATAATACAATATGGAAATGAGCCATGTTACTGCTGTGTGCCGCTGGGTAGATTCTGACTTAGAGCCATCTGTGTGACAGAGAAGAATTGTCCCACAGGCCTGCCTAGGTCGTCATCTCTAGGGGAACAGATTGTCTGTTCTTTTCTCCTGTGGAGCTGCTGGCGGATTTGAACTACTGACCTTGTGGTTAGCAGTTGAGCACTTAAACATGTCACCACCAGGATGACTCTTCGAACTAGTTATGTTATACACAAAACATGCATGAGATGTCCAAACATGATGGTGAATGAAATAAACCACACTGAAACAATTTGATCCCATTCACATAAAATTTAAAATCAAGCAATAGTAAACCAGAGTAGTTAGTGACATAGACAGGAAGAAAAACTAGGAAGGAAAGAAGGAAGGAAGGAAGGAAGGAAGGAAGGAAGGAAGGAAGGAAGGAAGGAGATATGAAATAAAGAAAAAAAAGAAATCAAAAAGGAACATATTAAACACAAAAGTAAGGACAGTAGTTAGCTCACAAAAGGAGGAAGCGATTTTGATTGGCAAGGACTTCTGGGGTGCTGGTGTTCTATTAGTGACCTGGTTGGGGTGACTTTGCAAGTCTCCTTTAAACAATTGCTAGGTTTAGTGCGATCTCTTTTATGCACGACACATTTTGCAACCCCAGCCCACCAAAATGAACAAACCACATGATCAAAAATAGGACAGTCCCAAGGCACGATATTGTGCTAGTGCAGTAGTTAAGTTTTGCTGGTCTGCTTTGATGTCGTTTTGTCTTGGCGGTGGAGCTCTTCCTTCAAACATGCTCAGAGGCACAGGCCGAATACCTACAGTAGAGCGATATAGAATACCTGCTGTGCCCCACGGGTGGGGGAACTGGAGCCAGACTGCTGGCTCTGTTTCCACTTTCTGTGTTGTTTCTGAGCTTGTTAGTTCCGATTCCAAGTTCCTGCTTCCAGATCCCTGGCTCCATAGCCAGCCTTCAATTCCCACCTCAGATCTTTTCTCTTTGCCCTTGTGAGCCTGTCTGTTCTGATCTGTATATCACACCTCCTCCAGGAAGGTGGAAGTCTCCTCACCTAGCTTCTCACCTACCTGCCCCCTAGCTTCTGCATCTCTACCCTCATCCTAGAATCCTACTTTTAGCCAGGCCAACTCCTAGACCTCACAGTCGATTTCTGTTGTTGGATTCCCCCCAGTCCCATCCACAAAACGGAACTTGATACATTAACACTCCCTCCCTTACTGAAGTGGATTTGAGGCTCCGGGCTAGATTTGGTGCTTATTGCTATCTCCTCGTTGCTTCTTGAATTGTATGCCTACTTATTGTGAGCTCCAAAGTGGTTCAAGTTCGACCTAATTAATTTTAGTTTGCCTAGCACAGAGGAGCGGCTGCCCAAGCCCTCCAAACACACTGCCACCGACAGTTGTAGAAAGCTTCATCTTCCTCTGAAAGGATCGCTGGTGGATTCCATTGCATGTTCTCCTGCTGACCGCATGCTCAGCAGTTTGACGACACTCGCTTTCTGCTCCTAGGAGCTAATGACAGCCTCAGAAACGCACAAGAGCGGTTCTGCCCTGTCTTCCAAGGTCCTTTTGGGTTGAAACCGACTCAAAGACCGTGAGAACAGCAGTTTAGGTCATCTGTGCTGAATGAGTTACTCAGCGTGTCCCTGCAATGCTCAGCACAGCGCGTTTTTCGTGTAAGGACGACGGAGAGGTAGGAGGGCAGAAGGATAGACAGTAAACACAGACACCTGTTCCCCAGCCACTCACCTTCGATTTCCTTCCGAATGGCATCGCACAGGCCCACGGACACGCCCACCTTGACGGACACCACCTTGATGGGTATTTGAAGTTTAAAACCATGCTTGGCACACTTCTGGACATCATCAAGAGAGAAATCTGGAGGAAATAAGAAATGAGCTGCTTTCATGACGATTACAGATGAGACCCCCGTGATAAAGGCCCATCAGGAAAGGCTGGTGTCTCTTTAGGGCATTGTGAGCCCGTGATGGGGGATAAACATTCAAATGGGCTATCGGGGAAGTGTCCTGACAGAAATGCCTGAGTGAAGGAAAGAGACCCAGGACTGTTCTGGACTTAATTCAGTCCCTCAAAAACACGTGCTTGTCGATCTTAACCCCTATACTGCAGGGCTAACTCCTTTGGAGATTAGCAGTTTCTTTGTTGTGTTACTGAGACCCTATAAAATACCCAAAACAAAACAAAACAAAAACCTCACTGCTACCCAGTCAATTCCAACTCATCGTGACCATGTAGGACACCCCCTGGGGATGTCTGAGGCTGTCACACTTTCCGGGAGTAGTAAGCCTTGTCTTTCTCCTGTGGAGCAGCTGATGGGTTTGAACTGCTGACCTTGGGGTTAGCCGCCCAACGCATAATCACTACCCCACACCAACTACTTTTGAGATGTGAAAAGAGCAGATTGGGTGCAGAAGCAAGTGAGCACAAGAGAGGGAAGGTAGAACGCATGGGGAGAGCATCGCAAGGAACGAGAACTGAGGAACAAGGAGAGTGGGGGAGCTGTAATGAGAATCCTCCCCCCACTCCCATGGACAGGGAGAGGGTCTTCCTCCAGAGCCAGTGCCCTGAGGTAAGCACCTCTGGCCTCGAAACTGTGAGAATACAGATTTCTGTTCATTCAAGGGATGGGTAGATAGAGTGGGAGCTATCGACACATGGAAGTATTTAAAGTCATGAGATTGGAGGAGACAGAGGGAGCAGTTGTAGAAGAGAGGGCGTGGCCCAGAGGAAAGGTAATGTCAAGAAGAGCATGAGGCATCTGAAACTGAGACTATGACCGTGTTGCATGGAAAAGTAGGACAACCTAGGCTCTCCCATCAACTCATAGCTTGTATGTGGCCTGCCCGGAAAGTCAGGGTCCCCCGGACAGTGTACCTGCTCTTTCCAGGGCCTCCTGGTTCATGACGAGTGTGTATTCGTACGTGCCCCCAAGCACAGCCTCTGTGATGTAATGGGTCCCGAAATCGCGCAAGAGATCTCTGTACTCCCCGTAGCTGTAGTCCAAGGGCAGCTGCTGGACTCGCTGCAGGAATTCGTAATGGAGCATGAGGCTTCTGGGCTTCAGCTTGTAATGTGCCACTTCAAGGTCAGCGCGTGCATGCAGAAATGTGCTTTTCTAAATGAAACACCAACGTGGGAGAAGCAGACCTTTACAGTTAGGAATCTGGGATGAGAAGCTGAACTTTACAAATGCCACAGCCTGCTCTTGCCCTGGGGTCATCACTCTTACGGCTCCTTGCGGATGCATCGGGAAGAGGGCCTCCTTGGCAAGCTTTCGCTTCTCAGAAATAGTGCCATGTCCTTTTCAGCTGGGAAGGGTTGGCTCTTCACTCGCCCCACACCGCAGTGAATCAGGCACGGAAAGGGTGAATGGAAACAGACGTGGCAGCCAGGAGCCCTAACGTGATGCCACCAAGGAGCCATTTGTCTAGAGTTTGCTAATCTACGACGTGAACCTCTGCTTATGCCTATTAAGCAGCACGAAGAAAAGCCACACAAGAAAGGTGAAAACACGGCTCGAGGAAGGCTAACTGCTCCGTGTAGGGCAGTCAGCAAGCTACAGTCCACAGACTCGATACAAAAATGATAATCATCCTAAAAGGCTACTGAAACACAGCCATATCTGAACAGCAACATCGGACAGTGTACGATATGAAAAAATAATAATTTATAAATTATCAAGGGTTCATGATGGCGGGGAGAGGAGGGGGAGGGGAGAGGGGAAAATGAGGAGCTGATGCCAGGGGCTTAAGTGGAGAGCACATGTTTTGAGAATGATGAGGGTAACGAATGTGCAAATGTGCTTGACACAATTGATGTATGTATGGATTGTGATAAGAGTTGTATGAGCCCCCAATAAAATGATTTAAAAAAAGAAACACAGCCATATATATTCATTTACATATTGTCCATAGCTGCTTACATGTGAAAATGAGAGTTCAGTAGTTATGAGATAAAGAGAGAGAGAGAGAGGCTAACATCCCGAAGAGCTTAAACTACTTACTATCGACATTATTACAGAAAACGCTTGGTAACTCCTGGGGTATGGCATAGAACCAGGGGCAATTACCCCATAAACATGGGAAACATGGACCTAGCTATGCTTACTAACTAATCTGTAATGAATTTTTTCACATCTTTAATGTGGTAGAAACATGTGAAATTGTTCACTACAGATTAGTGAACTGCCATTGAGTTGATGCCACCCCGCCATGACCCTATAGGACAAGGTAGAACGGTCCCCTATGAGTTTCAGAAATTCTTTGTGGGAGTAGAAAGCCTCGCCTTTCTCTCAAGGAGCACCTGGTGATTTTGCAGTGCTGACCTTGAATTGTGCCCAATGCACAAGCCACTATGCCACAGATTAGTAAGTAAACACAAGTACCAAAATCCCAAACTCAATGCCATCGAGTCAGTGCCACTCATAGTGACCATATAGGACAAGGTAGATTGCCGTTGTGAGTTTCCAAGACAAAATTTTAGGGGAGTATAAAGGTCTGTCTTTTTCCCTCAGAGTTCCAGGTTGTTTCAAACTTGGGTTTGCAGCCTGGAGCCTGATCTTGAGGCTGGCAGCCCAAGGCATAACTCTACCCCTGTACGATCCCTGTCATGGATATCAGATTTAAAAAGATCCCTTGACTTGGTAGGAAAGTGTTATGGGGCTGGGAGGGAGATTGATGACAGCCATACCTAGCAGCAGAATATTTGATGTGGTGGAAAAATGTGTGATGGTGCATTATAGATTCATGAGTAAGCACAAGCAAGCCTGTGCTTACCTTGCTTATTGGGAGATCTATACCTGGGTAAACTGAAAGACCCCAATGCTACATGAAGTATACAGGAAGTATTAATATAACCAGTGGTTCTGAGTTGTGCAAATGGTTTGACTGACAACAAAAGGTGTTAGAAGGTCAAGTTCCTCTCAAGACACCATGGAAGAAACTCTTGGCATTGGAAGCCGTATAGAGCAAATTTGTACTTGACATGCACAGAATCACCACGAGTTGGAATTGACTCAGTAGCAACTAGTAGGTCGACCATGACCACCATCAGTTGCTGTTGAATTGCACAGCACGAAGTCTCATGTGTCTCAGAGTAGAACTGTGCTCTGAGGTGGTGTTGGGGGGGGGGGGAGGAAGTGGTGCTAACAAACCCAGGGACAAGGGAACAACAAGTGATCCAAATCAGTGGTGAGGAGGGTGCAGGAGGCCTGGTAAGGCATGATCAAGGGTAATGTAACCAAAAGGAACTACTGAAACCCAAATGAAGGCTGAGCATGATAGTGGGACAAGAGGAAAGTAAAAGGAAATAGAGGAAAGAGCTAGGAGGCAAAGGGCATTTATAGAGGTCTAAATAAAGGCATTCACATATGTAAATATATTTACATATGAGGATGGGGAAATAGATCTATGTGAATATATTTATAGATTTAGTATTAAGGTAGCAGATGGACATTGGGCCTCCACTCAAGTACTCCCTCAATGCAAGAATACTTTGTTCGATTAAATTGGCATTCCATGATGCTCACCTTCCCAACACAATCACTGAAGACAAAGTAGGTGCATAAGCAAATGTGGTAAAGAAAGTTGATGGAGTCCGGCTATCAAAAGATATAGCATCGAGGATCTTAAAGACTTGAAGGTAAACAAGTGGCCATCTAGCCGAAGCAACAAAGCCCACATGGAAGAAGCACACCAGCCTGTGTGATTACGAGGTACCAAAGGGATCAGTTATTAATCATCAAAGAGCAAAAAATCATATCATTGTGTGCTCACCTCCCCAATATGATTGCTGAAGACAAATGGATGCATAAGTAAATGTGGTGAAGAAAGCTGATGGAGCCCGGCTATCAAAAGATATAGCATCTGGGGTCTTAAAGGCTTGAAGGTAAACAGTGGCCATCTAGCTTGGAAGCAACAAAACCCACATGGAAGAAGCACACCAGCCTGTGGGATCACGAGGTGTCAGAGGGATGAGGTATCAGGCATCAAAGAACAAAAAATAATATCATTGTGAATGAGGGTGAGTGTGGAGTAGGGAACCCAAGACCCATTTGTAGGCAACTGGACATCTCTTTACAGAAAGGCCACAGGAAGGAGACGAGCCAGCCAGGGTGCAGTGTAGCAATGATGAAACATACAACTTTCCTCTAGTTCCTAAATGCTCCCCCGCTCCACCCCACTATCGTGATCCCAATTCCACCAAACAAATCTGGCTAGACCAGAGGATGTACACTAGTACAGATAGGAGCTGGAAACACAGGGAATCCAGGATGGATGATCCCTTCAGGACCAGTGGTGAGAGTGGTGATACTGGGAGGGTGGAGGAAGGGTGGGGTAGAAAGGGGGAACCAATTACAGGGATCTACATATAACCTCCTCCCTGGAGGATGGACAACAGACAAGTGGATGAAGGGAGACATTGGATGTGTAAGACATGACAAAATAATAATTTATAAATTATCAAGGGCTCAGGAGGGAGGGGGAGCGGGGAGGGAGGGGCAAAAATGAGGAGCTGATGCCTGGGTTTACGTGGAGAGTAAATGTTCTGAGAATGATGAGGGCAACGAATGTACAAATGTGCTTTACACAGTTGATGTATGTATGGATTGTGATAAGAGTTGTATGAGCCCCTAATAAAACGATTAAAAAAAAAAAAGGTATTCCGATGGCTGGTCTCTTTGTTTGGAAGATAGTGCCACACCTTTCTTCCAAGGCCCCTCTGATGGACTCAGAGCTGTAACTTCTCAATTAGCAGTTCAGTGTGCTGTTTGTACCACTCAGGGACTCCAACTGGTAGATCCCCAAACTCATTGCCATCAAGTCAATTCTGACTCTTAGTGACACTATCGGACCAACTAGTACTGTCCCTGTGGCCTTCAGAGATTATAACGATTGAAGGGAGTACAAAGCTTGAGCTTCATTCTCATGGAGTGGAGTGGCTGGTGGTCATGAATGACTGACCATTGTAGTTAGCTGCCTAACATGTAAACACTACACCACCATGGCTCCCCTATCTAGAAGGTAGACAGGTAGTAATATTATCTGAGTTGATAAGTTCCTATGCTGGGATACAGGCTAAGAAAAAAGGAGAGGGTAGGAAATAGTTGTGAGATCTTTTCTGTGCCATTTCTACCAGCTTGACCCGTCACTTGACTGGTACTCAATAAGGCATGTCATCTGGAGTTGTGACAGTAGTAACCACGTGTTCACAATGTTACTTGCTTTGCTCACATCCCATTCTGATCCAGTCCTAGTGAGTCACACTAGGTTCTCCATTTATACTTGTCCTAATTATTTCAGGTCTACTCCCTACTAGCTTGAGTTGTAAAAATTTCCCCTTTGATTACCCATCTTTCTGAATTCAATGCTGCTATTAAACGTGACTTCTAAGACTCTACTCGTATTGTGATAATGTCCCTCTGGGTATTGGCTCTCTAGAACCTCTAGAAAAAAATCACACACATCCTCCCCAACCCTTACCTTGAATATAAGGTCTTCACAATCTTTCTTCTAGTACCCTCTCTAGCGTAAACTTCTACAAGCTCAAGGTTTCCTCCTCATGCCTTATTATTTTCCATCATCCATCTATAGTAAGCTTTACTTTCATTTCCTACTGTTTCCCAAAGTTGCATTATTGTTCATGATACAATGTTTGCATGTGCTGTTTCTTTTGTTTGAAATGTTCTTCCCTCTCTTTTCTGCCTGAAACCTAACTACTAATCCTCTAAATCAATTCTTGCCTCTGATTTGATGGTTGTTGAGATAGTTAAAGATTATTGTGCTAACCTGGATGATAAATACATGTAGGGTTAATTGAAGGGCAGAGAAATAAATGGCTTGGTGAAACTCGCCTTTCTAGTTCTCAGGTCTTTTGCTTTCTGATGGTTGGACCAGGGTGCAGCTGCCTTAACCAATTCCCTGCTTTAGCTGGCAATGCTCACTTCCTGCAAGACATCCCCAAGGAGAAGCCACATGGACCTACCCTGATGCAGGCCTAGGTGTGGAGACCCCTGCCAGTGCTGAAATGCTTACACACTCACTGATTTGGCTTTCCTCCTGCAGTCGGCATCATTGCATGTGTTTTGTGAGATGGAGGAGGACTTTGTGGATCGGTGTCGGACATATGGGCTAATGGGTTAATGTTGGACTTGTGGGCTTGGGCAGCACTGGGTTGGGATGTTTTCTTGATGCGCACTTAACCTTTATATAAAACTCTCTCTTATACATGAGTTTCTGTGGATTTGTTTCTCTAAAGTACCCAGACTAACACAATTGTTGTTGGCTGCCATGAAGTCAGTCCCTGCACAAGAGAACAAAAACATTGCCTGGTCCGGTGTCATCCCAATGATTGGTGGTTGTGGGATACAAAAGATTGGGGTTGTCTCCTGCTTGGTAGCTCATTGCATAGTCAGCTGCTTAGAAGTTTTCTGCCTGAAGGCATCAGCCATCCAGAGCAATCAGACTATTGTCTGTCCCACCTTAGATGGGGCACACAATCCACTGATAAGCATAGTGATTGTTGCCCTGGAGAGCCCAGAGAAAGGGTCAAGTCCACTCAAGAATGACCAAGGTTAGGCTGCCGTCTTGAATCTAGGATCTGCCTACCTTGTCACATGTACCCCTAATCCCTCCTCTTCCTATTGCATGTACACCCCTAGATCATCCCCCTCCCTTTGCTGTATTGCCTATGTTACAACCCCTTCCTGTGATGTATGTGGTTACCTATAATCAGGGGGGCTTGCATGCCCCTACGTATATATATGCCTTGGTTAGATATCTATTCTTTCTCCCCTCCTCTTGTCTCCAACCTCCATGTGGACCACCAAGGGGGGCTGAGGTGAGCATGTTACCATACAATGTGTCTGACTCCTTTATTTTACCTTCTCTCCTACCTTCCCTATTGTCTATGACTTTATTATAATCTTTATATATTATTGCCATACAATTGCACCTATGAACCCCCCCCACAATTGTAAGAGGCTGATTGCTCTGAGAGGTGGTGGACTAGACCATGATGACCCAAAGGATTGTCATTGGATAATTTCCAGAGATAACTCAGCAAGCCTTTCTTTCCAGTCCACCTTAGCCTGGAAGCTTCACTGAAAGTTTTTCAGTGGCATAGCAGCACTCAAGCCTCCACTAATAGAAAAGCAGTGACCATGCTTGAAGTGCATTGTCTGGGGATTGAACCTAGGTCTCTCTCACAGGAGGCAAGAATTCTAATACAGAAGCACCAATGTTCCCGTTCCTATTTGAAACCATCCTTGATTTCCCCAGATGTGCATTCTCTTCTCTAATCCATTGCACTTTACTTACATTTCTTGTATAGCCTATACAGCCAAGCTGTGCTATAACTGATGTAAAAAAAACAACAGCAAGTTATCTATTCACATGTTTACCTCTCCTACTGGGCTGTACTTGGAGGCCAAGACTATGTTTATTTGTTTTTGTCTCTTAAGACTCCAGTGTGGTGCCTGGTATGACAGAAGCACCTTATAACTGTCCATTTCAATCGTGGTGCTAAAGGGAGACAGAGAATGGGAGAAGTGCATGGGTGGTACCCTGTGATTTACTTCTAGACCGGCCTATTCAACATCCCTGTCTTTCATTCTTGAGTACCTACTAAATGCCATTCTGAGTCTAGAGATGAAAAAAATAGTGTATTCCCTGAAGAAGCTAACAACCAAGAAGATAAAGAAAAACAGAAGAGGCAATTACAATGCGATTATTTGCCACTCTGCCCCTGCAGGTTGATATTATGCAGCAGAGATCTTTTTGAGACTCCATCATTATTTTTCCTTATATAAATAACTGTAGACTTCCATTGTGTTCACCTCAAAGCCCCCTTCAGATTGATTTTCCACTGTATCTCACCACACTGAAAACTCTCAGTGGCTAGAGAATAAAATATACCTCTGTGTTAGGCAGGGAACTAGCTAAAGTAGCTGCCCACTAGTCTGATCACTGGAGGCCAAGAGACAGAGGGGTGGGCATTGCCGAACCATTCATCTTTTTGCCCTCCAATCAAACTGCAACTTGATTAATTCCACATGTTCCTATTGGCCAGGTTGACACAATAAACCTACCTATCACGGTCCACCCCTTGCCAACTTGGCACCTGTACACAATTCTTTAGCCATATATAATTTCCAGACATTAATGAAATCACACTTACAACTATCATCATACATCTATCATAAACGTAAATGAACACATACTAAATCTAATTTTATCTGGCACATGATACATGAACAATGAAAAGATATTCAATAAACACATATAAAGAAGATAAACTGATAATCACAAACCTCACTTTTGCAATTGATCATATGGTCATACTGATTGGTAGAACTGCCTTCCTCTGCTACTCGTTCTGTATTACCTTTGCTCTCAGGCAATGCAGGCAGAGTCCGCCCATAGGCAGCAAACAGCAGGGAGGGTCACCAACAGTCAGTTGAGGAGTTTAGCAAAGCAGGCCAAGATGGGATATCGAATTCAAGCAATGCAAGATGACAGGATCCACCAACCTCAAGCTCAAGTGATGTACACACCAGCAGTGTAGTGAAGGAACCTCAAGCTCCAGCTACATGTTCCATGGCTTGGCTGTTCCATAGGTAGTGTAGCTCACAAGTTGAGGCAGAGAACTCAATAGACTCCAGGGGCTCAATATCCTCCTCTTCTGGATCATCAGACCGTATGTTCCCATCCCATGTTTCAGGGTCCCAATTCTTCCCAATTAATGCCCTTACTTTAATATCAGACACTGTTCTAGACCTGCAATTCAGCTGACACTGTAATTCAGCTACTCGTATGATGAGACTCTGGATTTGGTTTTCAGCAATGTCAGCTCTATTCCTAGAGAAGAGAAGACTCTCCTTTGTAGCACATGCAGTAGCTTTTAGGTCTTGAGAAGTGCTTCTGAGGTTCTGAGATTATCCCTTTCCTGGATCACATTTTCTATTGTAAGGAGGACCAGCCAACCAGGTTCCCTATATGTCTCATCCAGACAAAACTGCTGGAAAATATCAAACACACAATCAACCAGAGCCTCTCCTCTCAAAAGCACTTCATCTATTGGTGGTGATGCTGTGGATATTGGATTTGCGACTTCACACCATGACAGACTTAATTAATAGTGGCAGACCTATCTATGTCTATTAATAGTGGCAGACTTATCCATGTCTTTAGGGTTAAACACAGCATTATCAGTGCTATTAAGCCTAACCAGGTTGTAGAAACAATTTGAGAAGCCCATATTTATGATCTCATTTCTCTAGAACCACCCCATTCCTGGTATCAATTGAGTTAGGCAGAGAACTAGCTAAAGCAGCCACACGCTGGTGTAATCACCAGAGAGCGAGAGAGATGGGGGCGGGCTTTGCCAAGCCATTTATCTCTTTTCCCTACAATCAAACTGCTACTTAATTAATCCCAAATGTTCCTATTGGCCAGGTTGGCACAATAAACCTATGTATGACAACCTCCTTACCCTAATACTCAAGGCTCTTCAGATTTGCCTGTTACCTGCCTCTCCAACCTCATATCCCACTCCAGCAATTCCACTTCCACCCAACCAAGAGCTTTGATCTTGACCTTGTTGGTGATAGGAGATGATATGATTAGTACTGAAGAATGTGACAGGAGATGGATTTGAAAGGAGAATCTTTAGAAGAGCAAAGATGAGTCGAAGGTCCAGAGTTGGTTAAAAATGGGAGAAGTTGGTTTTTAAAATATTGGAGGGTCATCACTGAAGGATTTCCATGATGTAGAAATTAAGTATCAAGCAGTGTGAGTCCGATTGAATTCTGTGGTTCTTAGTTTGGAAAAGGAGAAGGAAAAAAAATTCTATCAACACAGAAACTGCAAGAGGAAGACCTTGCTGTTGAGGGTTAGTGATGCATCCAGGCGATGGTGCCCAGGAGAGTGGGCAATGCAGATGTAGAGCTTGAGAGAAAGGCTACAATCAGTGGTGAAGTTTCCTTGCTCCTGCCTATAGATGTGGGAGGTAAGCAGTGTGAACTGTAAAGCAAACAGGGAAGAGCACTGTGAGCAAAGTATTTAAGGGACAGCGGAGGATTCAAAAACCTAGCAAGGAAGTTGATAAGGAACAGAAGAAAGACAAGGGCAATTGTTGGGTGACCTCAAGGTTAACATCACCATTTGGCTTGAGAAGCTGGAGAATAGGTGTTTGGTGATGCTTCTGAGAAAGTTTTGGGTGGTTGTTCAGGACAGAAGTCACAGTGCTGTGGGTGATATTTTGGTTTGACAAAGCTGTACTCTTAAGCTTAATGAAAAACAAAGGAAAACAGCTTCTTAGAAAATGAGAGAAAGTAATTATAGAAGGCCATCGTCACTCGGCCTCTCTAAAAACAGCATTAATATAAAATGGAGCTATTTTTCGTAAACAGGCTTTCCAGACAACAGAAACATAATGGGCTGTTAGTAATAATGTGGAACACAGACTCATCTATAGGGATGAAATTTCAAATGAGTGTATGTAACTATAAAAGCAACAAATGCATACTTACAGTGTGAGTGAATCTCTTGATTCTGCTAATAAAGTGTTTGCCTTTAGCAGTTGTCAAGTCATAGCCCAGTTCAAATAATCCAGGTATTTTAAAACCAAAACTGGAACTGGATACAGCAGTTGATGTCTGTGTGACATTATGCTCAAAATCTGTGTACGATTCATACTCTGTTAGTGCAAATTCATATTTGCCTTGGGTCTACAGGGAGAAAAGAAAAGGTTTCTTATTTCATACAATTCAGGTCAGTCCAGTACAAGTCAGCAGATATTTTTCACCCTTGCTATGTACCCGGCACTGGTCTAGGTGTTTGAGATACAGATAAGTGTGGTCCAATTTGTTGTTCTTCTTCCTTTGAGATTCTAACTTTGATCTAAAAAATACTCCAGCTCCCTGCCATTGAGTCGATTCCACTTCATAGGCACCCTATAGGAGGCCTATAGGACAGAGTAGAACCACCCCTGCGGTTTTTACAAGATGATACCTTTTAATGGGAAGAGAAATCCTCATCTTTCTCCTGCAGAGCAGCTGACTTTGAGGTTAGCGGTCTACCGATCGCGCTACCAAGGTTCTTCCATCTTGGTCTTTGCCATCAAGTCAATTTCTACGCCTAACAGCCCTACGTGGAGCAGAGCTGGGCCCCTGCCGGTTCCAGTGGCTGACCTTTCGGAAGTGTATGGACAGGTCTTTCTTCGGAGGCACTTCTGGGCAGCCTCAAATCTCCAGCCTTTCGGTTAGTAGCTGAGTGTGTTAACTGCTTGCATCACCAGAGACGGTGACCCAGAGACAGACAGACATATTCAGTATTTTGGGTTTAGACTCAGAGGTTATTTACGGATTGACTTTTGACTGGCAGAGACTGTGACATGAGCATTTTCATGTGGGATAATCTTGGGACATGGAGGTAACCTTCTCTAAGGCTTGGCTGCTTCATGTATAAGATGGAGAAGATAATGGTTCCCATCAATAGGCGTAGCCTGAGAATTGAGTTTATAGGCATTCAGGCACCAGCACAGTGTTTTGGGCATTGAGTTGATTCCAGTTCATGGTGACCCCATGTACAGAGTAGAACTGCCTCCACCGGGTTTTCTCAGCTGCGGGCTTTACAGGAGCGTGTTCGCAGGTCTTTCCCTCTGGGTAGGCTCCATTGCCAGTACTTTGGTTGGAAGCCAACACTCAACTGCTGTACTCTTAGGGTTCCTTTGGCACAAAGTTAGTGCTCAAAAATGGTTGGCTGTGGAGAAAGGAGATTTGAGATGCCTGACCATGGCGGTCTTTGGATCTGGTTAGTCTGGTTGATGAATGGCTATTCTAAGATGCCCCACCACCACCACTTCTGAATCAAGAGACTGTGAGGATGGCTCTGGGCACTGGGTAGAATCATGAGACTGTTGGGAATCTTTTTTTTTTTTTTTTAGCAGAAAGTTAGGCTTGGCCCTGAGCAAATATTTCCTTTTTGGACAATGAGTGTATCAGGATTTGGGTGGATGGGTGGGAGGGGAGAAATATTAGCCTGACTTCCAAAGGGATGGAGTTTTAGGCATAAAAACTGCCACCAAGACCTTCTAGTCCAAACCCTGATTTTGTAGATGGGGAAACTGAGGATCAGCTGGACCAGAAGCCTCGTCTCACCATGATCTGTGGGAGAGCTGGGCCCAGAGCCAAGGGTCTTGGCTTTGCACTCTCCCCTTCAGAGTGTGCGTGTATGTCGTATGGTAAGAAGACTAAGAAAACCACACTGCCATGTAGCTGATTCTAAGGCACTGTGACCCTGGGAACAGAGCACAACTGTTCTTTATGGTTTCTGAGATTGTACATCTTTATGGGAGCAGTTATCCTCATCTTTCTCTGGCAGAGCATCTGGTGGGTTTGAACCACCTACCTTGCAGAAGGCAGCCCAATGTTTAGCCTCCAATGACACCAGGACTCTACAGACGAATGTAAACCAGTACCAAACCCATTGCCATTGAGTCTATTTCAACTCATATATCGGGTTTTGGAGACTCTGAATCTTTACAGGAGAAAATTTCATCTTTCTCTTGTGCAGCAGCTGGGACGCTTAACCCCGCCCCCTCCACCTTGCGGTTAGCAGCTGAATTCCTAACCCACAGCACACCAGCGTAATCTACTAAACTCCACTCTCTGAGAGATTTGATTTGAACTTGGCATGTTAATCATAACACTTAATTATAAGCTTACATTGGGAGAGAATTTTATAATTTAAAATGCTAAGAATAATGCCTAGTTCTAATAGTCAAGATTCTGGTTGTAATAGTAATAATATTAATACAATAGCAACACCAAGTTAACATTTCTTGAGAACTCACCAATTTTTGTCCTAAGCACATACATACTTATTATCCCACTAACCCTCCTGCTGCAGAGAGAAGGCGTCATACCTCCCAAGTTAAAGAAAACCAAACAGAGGCTTGACATTTAAGGTGATGCAGATAGTAAATGGCAGACGGCACTGGGTCTGCGTGACTCCAAATCCTAAACTGTACTTGTATCCCCAGTACTGATATTATTTGTGTTGCAATTATTCCTAATGCTAGCACTGTTGATATCCACAGCAGGTCATCCTCACCCAGTGCCTTATGGAAGGAACGATCCATTTCACACAGGAAGAAACTGAAGCTCGAAGAGAAAAGGTGAGGCACCCAGGGTCGCATGGCCCACAGGATTGCACCGCCCATAGGCTCCAGGGCCCGCAACTCCATATTGACCAGCCACATTTCCGGCCCAGTACACCCTCCATTCTTCTGCAGTTGCTTCCTGGCTGCTACTCACCTTTGGGGTGTAGCTTTCCACATTGTATGGCTTCCTAAACCGCGTGTCGAGGATGTAGTGTGGGGAGCACCCACCAGCGTAATATCTGTGATCTAGAACTGGGCCTTCCAAGCTGTTGGTAAATAAATTTAACCTGCCAGGAAGGCACAGAGAGGGTGAAGAGGTTAGCTTTGCAGGGCACCTAATCTCAGATGGAAAATCCTACTGAACCCAAGCTGTTTGGCATGGCCTTCAAGGGCCTCAGTCTCTGGCCCCACACCAGCTTTCTAGCTTCACTTTTGGTCACTCTCCAACGACAATGCGCTACTCTCGGCCTCACGCATTTGGCAAAGCACGTGATTCTTTCCATCTGCTTTGCTCCTTCTCTCTGAGAGTGCTGTTCTCTGGGCCTGGGATGCCCTTTCACCTCTTCATTGTTCTCTTTCCTGCCACTCTTTCAAGACGGAGCTTTCCCTGTGGGGAGTGGTGGGAAGGCTTTACCAACATATCTCAGACCTGAAACCCCCACCCGCACTGGGTATGAAGCCTTCCGGCACCCGGCACCCTGTGCTTACCCTTGGCGCATGCATTGCATTATACTACTGAGAAAGTGGAAGAGGGTCACAGAGAAGAACATGCATCATGCAGTCTGGGTTCAAGTCTATATTCTGCCACGTGCCAGCTATGTGACCTTGGGCAGATCAGTTATCCTCTCTGCGCCTCCATCTCCTCCTCTGTCAAGTGGATGCTATGAAAGTGCTTCCCTCATTGAGTTGCGGTGAGGTTTGTACATGTCAGTATTTGCTAGGTGATTAAACAATGGTTTGGATGTGCTAAGTGTTTGTGATGATTTACGTGCTTCTTGAGGGGGGTGGATGTCTTCTCACTTTGTGTGCACCCCATCACACAAGACATAATCAAGATCATGACTGCTTCCTGGGGGCCCAAGTTGATGTCTCATTTCATTTAGTGCCCTTTCAGCCCCGGGCAATACAACAAATGACCGTCCTAGAGTCAATTTTGAACTCTAACAGCCCTCTGGGGCAGGGTAGAACTGCCCCTCTGGGTTTCTGAGGCTGTTACTCTTTATGGAAGTAGACGGCCTCATCCCTCTCCTGTGGAATGGCTGGTGGCTTTAAACTACCGGCCTTGCAATGAGTGGCCCAACGTGTACCCACGTCACTGATAGAGCTCTGTTTATAGATATTATTAAGTCTGTGTCCGGGAAGAGGAAAATCCAGCCCCTACTTCAATGCTCTTTCTTGCTCTCTTCTGAAGCACCAGTCATTCTTGACCACTCAGAATTCTTTGTGCATCGACGGGAGCTCAATCTCCTTTTAGCATCTGCCCACCATTCCCCACCAGAGTGCTCAGCTCTTCTTTCCCACTTTGTGGTTTTATTTAACGAATACAGCACTATAGACTATACTGCGTTTTATTTAACGAATACAGCACTATCCAGTTCATGCACATGAGTTCATTTAATCCTTCCAGCAAATTTATGAGCTGTAGAAATAGTTCAGTGCTCAATGACAAACCCAAGGGTTGGCAATTCGAATCTACCCAGAGGGGCCCGGACAGACAAGCTTGGGATTTACTTCTCAAAAGTCGCAGCCTGGAAACCCCGTGGGGCAGGTTCCCTCTGCACAGAAGGGGTAGCCATGTTTGGAATGGACTGAACAGTACTGGAAAATAATAATATCACTACACCCATTTAAGAGACGAGGAAACTGAGGCACAGGGAGGGCATTTGACTGGCCCAGGGCCATCCTGCTAACAATCATTGGTGACACCAGGATTCAAAGTCTGGTGGCCTGGTTCCTGCATTTGTCCCACTACACACACAGCCTCTCACTTATTAGTTTACTGCAGAACATTGAGAGAAAGACATTGCTGTTCGTCTTCACCCAAAAAAGCTACACTTAGATGTGTCCCTCACTGACATCTCCTGACCAGTGAGTGGCTCCTTCTAACCTCCTGTACCGGGTCCACTTGAACTCTCCCACCTGGTGGGCTCTCTCGCCTTCTGGCTGAGTGACCACTGGAATCTTACTTAACACTTTTGGGCCTCAGTTCCCTCTCTCGGAGGCAGTGTTCCATTAGCTAGCACAATGGGTGGTCCTCAGAGGACAGGCCACCTAAAGGGTCTCTTTCTAATGGTGTCCTTTAAGGATCAGGATCTGATTTTCATTTCGTAAGAAGGTAAGTTCCATTGAGGGTCAAGGTTCCTCTCGCCATATTGAATCCCCTCCAGTGGATTATTACGATTTAGGAGGGGAAGGTCTCACTCTTCCACCTAGCGGTGAGAAGTGGCAGAATTTGGCAGCAAAATAGGATAGAGTTGGCAGGACCCAGATTCAAAGGAGGTAGCCCTTTCTGACTTCTTGAGTCACCTAGCTTCTTAGATCCTTGCAAGAAGACCAGAGCAACTCATACTTCCTTAGAAGCGTGAAACACAGATGAGCATCAAATCCATCTTGGAAATCCATTTTTTCACTAACTGTTTATGAGCTTCTCCTCTAAGCTATGACCTACGCTGGGGTCTAGGAATAGAGAAATAAATAAACCCCGCCCCCAAGTTTTTACTGTTAGAAACACCAATGCTCAGACAACACCTAACACAGTCCTATAACTCAGTGTTATGTAACTCAGTGTTATGTAACTCACAGTCAAAGAACTCAACTCTGACTCCTCATGATCCTATGTGCGTCACAGAAGAACCACGCACGGACAGGGAGATCAATGGCTGAGTTTGGGGAAATAGATCGCTAAGACTTTCTTCCAAGCAAGTGTGTTGGCCAATGACACAAACACAGTCACGGAGCAGGCACTGAAACGAATGGTCAGCCTCCACTGTCCTGTAGCAGCAGCCCATTGCTCCCAGCATCGTTCTGTTCCCAGTGTCCCTACACTACCCTATGTGCGGCCCAGCGCTCTCCCCTGAATGTGCTCCCAGAGAACACCGGGACTGCCCTCAGGAGCATCCGGATACATGCCATCCTTTCTTTTTTTTCAGAAAGGAAGTTAAGGAGCTCTGTTCTTCCGGGTTCCCTCCCTCTCTAGTCTCCAGAAGCCCATTTGATTTCATGCCTTCTCATCTCCAAACAGGAGGGATCACTTACCCACTGGCCAATGTGTCAATCGCCCAGTATCGGTCCATTTCCTGCTGACATTTTTGGTAAATTCTTCTACAGTTTGCCTCATCGGATTGGTCTCCACAGTCATTGTCCCCGTTGCAAAGAAGTCTGCGGTTTATGCACCGCCCTGGGATGGAGGAAGGGCAGCACCTCGGTCATTGACCACGCTTATCAAGAAGGGAAACTGGAATGGTGTGAGCATCTGCTTTGTGCTGGACAATTTGCTGGGCCTTTAATGCTCTGTGTTGACGGATCTTGATGACTCAGGAAAGACTGGTACTAGCATTCGCGGCTTACCCCTGACCCCTACGTCCCCCCAAATGGAGGCCAAGAATGTATTTCTGAAAGCATTTTGAGGGGAGAGAGCTTAGAAGCCTTCCGCAAAGGCATGATTGGTGACAGGGGGACAGTGAAGAGAGTGAACATGTCTGATGGCCCAGGGGCAAAATGGCCAGGCTGGGGCCTGGACTTCTCCCCGTGAAGCTCAGGAGAAGAGTATGTTTGGTCAAAACAAACAATCTCCTCGCCATCAAGTGGATTCCAACTCACAGTGACCCTATGGCGTCACAGGCTAGAACTGCCCCTGCGTGTTTCCATGACTGTAACTCTTTCCTGGAGTAGAAAGTCTCATCGTTCTCCTTCGGAGCAGCTGGGCTGGGGTTTCAAACTGCTGACATTGTGGTTAGCAGCCCATCAAGTAAACCTCCGAGCCACCAGGGATCGCTGGAGTTTTCTTAGCATGCTCTGCACTTAGTGATTAGCTGAGGAACCATTCATCCATTTACCTAACCTGCTGGCCTCAATTCCTTCTGCAAAATAGAAGCCATCACGCCTACCCCATACATGTTGCTGGGGATTTACATGAGTGAATAGACTAGCAGTGACTCATGGTAAGTGCTGTGTACCCATCACTGCCATGACTGTTAGTGTTTGTCTGAGCCAATGTCACCCCTGTGGCAGGATCCAAAGCTGTTGTTGTTGTGACTTGATTTTGAGTCTGTCCAGCTCATGGCAGCCATAGCAGGATCCAAACCTCTAGTTGTCTAATCACATCCCGGTGCACCCTTTCCCCAAGCCCATTGCCTTCCACACCATGGGCCGATGACCAGTGAGAAAGCATTTGTTAGCACCTTGCTTCTTTCCTACATTTGGTTCTATCCCCTCCTCCGTCTTTCTTTCTTATTTGTATTTTCCTGGGGGGATAATGTCCATAAAACAAGGTTCCCTGCTTCCTTAGATGTGTCTGGTCACTTTTAATCAATGCTTTTTGGGTGTAAAAGGCAGAAGAATAACATTCTGGTCTTCAAATGTTTCTTACAAGGCATTAAAACTAAAGCCTGCCCAAATAGTCATGATGACTTCGGTCAGAATCATGGAACGATGGTCCTAATGAGTCCATAGACACATAATAAAGACATCTTTCAGATTTATGGGACTGAATTTTGCCTTTGCAAGAAGGCCTAGGAATTGCTCTAAGAATCTCTAGCTCTTTCTCGAAAGAACCTGAAGACCAATCCCCATGGGTACTGTGAATCTAGAAAGTTACAAGCGCCATCTAGGTCATTTTGTTTACAGACCCTGATGTTTGCCTTAGACTTGGTGAAACAGGAATTAGCTAGATGGAGGCATTGCAAAGACACGTGTTTATCTAGTTCGACCACAGATGATTCATGTGTGGTTCTCCCTCTCTCCCTCTTTCCATCTGTTTCTTCCCCTCGCCTTTCTTCTGTCTTTCCTTCTTCATTTAGTCAATTTTTTTTTTTTTTACTGACTCTGTCATGTGGTAGAGGCTACTACACTTGGTCCTGGATGAGAGCTATTTATCTAAAAAAATTTTTTCTAGAGGCAAATGATGAGAAGCTCTGATGGCATAGTGGGTTAAGAGTTGGGCTGCTAACTGGAAGGTCAGCAGTTCGAAACTACCACCTGCTCCAAGAGAGAAAGCTGCATTATTGTACTCTTGAAAAGACTTACAGTATCAGAATCCCACAGGGGCAGGTCTGCTCTGCCTTATGGGGACACTATGAGTCAGAATTAACTTGATGACAGTGAGCTGACCTTATTTAAGTATTTTAGGCTTTGCCTATATGGTTCTTAGCTCCAGGCATCTGAGAAAACTAGCAGAACTCTTAAGAGACAGACAGAGGTTCCAGCCAGTATCCTCTAAAGAGGAGGGAGGAGACTTTTGTCCAACCATCTTTCTGGTTTTCTTTTTTGACCAGATTAAGAATACTGGGGTCAGGAAGGGCAAGAGAGGGCAAGAGGCTGGATATGACTACTCTAATTTTGGGGGACATTTTCAAAAGAAAGATACAATTATCATCTAACAACAGCATGCCGCCAGCTCATTACTGTATACAATAGCATCCCTTCATCAAGACAGAACGCAAACGTGGAGGAAGCCTCTTCTGGTGGGTAGAATAATGCTCTACTTCCAAGATGTCTGGATCCTAATCCCAGAAGCTGTTTCTGTGTGACCTTGCTTGGCAAAATGCACTTGGCAGTGTCATTCCGTTAAGGGCCCCGAGCTGACAAGATTCCCAAGTATTAGCCTAGTGATCCCATGCAACCTTGGAAGGATCCTTGGAAGGGAAAGAGGGAGGTGAGTCATAACCAGGGGAGAGGTTTGGCGATGGCAGCAGAGCTGCCTGAATGTGGGGTCCCGGCAGAGGGTCTCCGGGAGCTGGGAAAGGTGATGGTTAAAAAACAACCACAACAATTTCCCCCTGAAGTCTCCAGAAGGAGGAGAACCCTCCTGATGCCTTCATTTTACCCAGTGAAACCGGTTTCAGTTTTAGGATCTTCAGAACTGCAAGGGATTACTTTGAACTGTTTGAAGCTGCTCAAACCCAAACAAACTCACTGCCATCACATTGAATCCGATTCCTAGTGACCCTATCACACAGGATAGAACTGCCCCTGTGGGTTTCTGAGACGGCAACTCTTTTCCAGGAGGAGAAAGCCTCATCTTTCTCCTGAAGAGCGGCGGGTCGTTTTGAACAGCTGCCCTTGCGGTTAGCACTACAACGTGTAACCCTCTACATCACCACGGTGCCGAGCTGTGGCAATACAAGGGGGCTTGGAATAGTCCGTGAAACATTGGAAATAAAAGGTATTAGAATGTTTCTGTGAACTTTTTGAAGTTTCCTTATTTAAAGCGACCCTACAGGACAGGGTAGAACTGCCCTCTTTGGATGTCTGTGCCTACAACTCTATAGGGAAGTAGAAAGCCTCACCTCAGCTAGGTTGCTCCTCAGAGGAAAAGACAGCACGATTTCTTTCCTCTCACGTCCTTTGGACATATTGTCAAAAAGACCAGTCCCTGGAGAAGAGCATCATGCTTGGTCAAGTAGCAGGGCAGCAAAACAGAGGAACGCCCTAGACAAGATGGACTGACAACGTGGCTGCAACCGTGGGCTCAAACATAAGAACAACTGTGAGGATGGGAGAGGACTGGGCGGTGTTTCCTTCTGTTGTAAATAGGGTCTCAACTTACTCAATGGCCCTTAAGAACAACAGCAAAGGTTAGGGAGCCCCCGGTGAGTAGCGGTTACAAGTTGAGCTGCTAACTGAAAGGTCAACACTTTGAACCCACCACTCGCTCGATGTGAGAAAGATGAAGCTTTCTACTCCCTTAAAGAGTGACTGTCTCTGAAACCCACAAGGGCAGCTCTACCCTGTCCTAGACTCTGGGACCTAGAAGGTCACTATGAATCAAAATGGACTTTACAGCAGGGAGAATGGTTGTGAATTTCTTTTCATGTTTGTTGGCTGCTTGGAGGTCTTTCTTGGTGAAGGTTCTTTGCCCATTAAAAACAGAATAAAATACTTTATTGACCTTTAGGTGAAAGTTTACAGAGCAAATTCGTATCCCATTCAATGATTTATATACAAATTGTTTTAGGGCGTTGGTTAAAATCCCCTGAAATGAGCCAAGACTCTCCCCCTTAACACCCTGGGTTCACTATTTTCATTGATCCAGTTTTCCTAGCCCTTTCCTGTCTTCTCGTATTTGTTTATGGGCAGGTATTGCCAATTTGATCTCATATACTTGGTTTTCTAAGGAACACGTTTTATAGACCTGTTTAATTCTTGGCTAAAAGGTGAACTTTGGGAGTGGTTTCAGTGCTGAGTGAAAAGCGTGTCAGTCTCAGGGGTTCTGTCAGTCTCAATCCTCTTTGTTCAATTGTGATTGCGTTGTCTTTTCGTTGTTAGTGTAGAGGTAACCAACTGGTCTATTGCAATTTTCTCTAGATTTTACAAATTGGGCCCTAATCGGAATAATAGTTTCTTAGGATTCCTTCCCAGTCTGTAAGTTCTTTATGCTTTTATTAAAGTCTTTTGAGGAGCATAGTTTTTAATTTTTTTGAAGTCCTGTTTGTCTTTTTAAAATGTTCTGTTCATGCATTTGTTGTTATGTTTGTTGTCTAGTTTTTATTTTTACTAAGAAGGTCCTAGAGTTTTTTCCCAAGAATTTTATAGTTTTGGGTATAACACTTAGATCTTTGATCCATTTTGAGTTAGTTTTCTTATATTGTGTGAAGCACGGGTCTTGTTTCATTTTTATGCAAGGGACATCCCATGTTGTCAGCACCATTTATGAAGAGACTGTTTCTGCCCCCCTTGAATGTACTTTGACCACTGTGACAAACAATTGTCCATAGATGGATGGATTTAATTCTGAGTTCTCCATTCCATTCCACGGTCTATGTGTTTGCCATCAAACCAGTCTGCTGTGATTACAGTGCTGTATAATATTTTTTTGGCATTGGTAGAATGAGACCTCCTGTTTCTTTCTTCTTTTCTTTCTTCAATAGTACTTTAGCTATATGGTATCTCATTCGTTTACATGTAAATTTGGTCATTAGGTCTTCCATGGCAGTCACGAATATTGCTGGGACTTTGATCAGGATTGCAATGTATATGTAGATCACATTGGGTACAATGAACAGTTTCACTATTTTAAATGTCACAATCCATGAACACAGAAGGTGTTTCCATGTTGATGGGTCTCTTTTCATGTCTTACAGGAGTGTTTTATAATGGTCATTGTGTAAGTCTTTTATGCCCCTAGTTAGGTTAATTACTAAATGTTCTATTGATTTGGGAGCTTTGTTTTCTTTTTCA